CAGTGGCGTGCTGGGTACTATTTTTCTGGGGAGGCCAGTCGGCTGGCAACTAATATGCGCCCCTATAATATTACCCTTGATAAACGAGGGCCGAAGGCACGAGCCGAGCGCCGCAGGTGCGAGGTTTGTCTAGGGGGGTCCGGGGGCATGCCCCCCAGGAAAATTTTTGAATTTAGAGTCTCTGAAATGGCATTTCCTGGACTTTGGGGGAAGATTTGACAGAAATCTGATGGTCAGGAAACGGCATTACAACGCGTCGAAATTTGAAAATTGGTTAGAATTTAGTAGCAGCACTTAAATTGGGCAATGCTAACTACTTCCAGCAATTAATCTAATCCCAATTCTATTCTCTACTGATCTGAATACATTTACAATTTACAGCTCTTTTATACAATAACACACGAACATGGGCGTACCGGAAGGAAAAAATTAGGGGGGCGGAAAGAAAATTGCCCGACTTTTCGGATTCTGCCCGACTAGTACCAAAAAATTTTTTCCGGAAAAATTATTTTGGCGACCTTCCCCCCCCCCCCGCCGCTAAAAAAATTTTCGGTCAGTGTACCATTTTAGGGGTCAAAAAAAATTCAGGGGTCAAAAATCACAACATTTGCGAAAAAATTGACTTAATTTTAGACAAAATTTACTGAATTTGTCCCATTTTTTTTTTGGACACCAAAATTGCCCGACTGTTGATCGAATATTGCCCGACTGCCCAAAAAACTGGGGGGGGCTGCCACCCCCCGCCCCCCCGCCCGGAACGCCTATGCACACGAACCCCACGCATATGCATTTTAAGGTTTCCTTGCCTGGCTGCCAAAAGGGCGTGTTTCATCATTATCTCATTACTTAGGCCCCGTTTACACTATACCGGATTGCTATCGGAGTGGGTCAAATTTTGTAGGCATTGAAAGGCTGTGAAGATTTTTAATCTGAGAGACCCAAATAAACATGCCAATTCTGTCAAACTAATAAGCATTTGCTATTAGCCATTGCTCCTTAACGGCAGAAGATGATCGCGTGACGAGCGAATCCGGTATAGTGTAAACGGGGCCTTACATTACTCATAATGTTTCTTGCGCAAACAACTAAATTGCGTACACAACTTTACATTATCATAACTTCAACTATCTAATTTGCGCCGCTCTCGTGATTCGTGAAGCATAATAAAGGGCATAATATAAGGGTATAATACCAGCAAAAAAGGGCATAATTCCCGTGATCGCTTCGAAGCCTGGTCAATATTCCGGTAATAAGACATTGCGTGTGATCACTGATCATGTTTCTATATGAACGAGTGATTTCGTGTGAGTCGTGAGGTAGCAAATACGGTTAGACAAAATAGTCTGCAATTTAATATACTCACTTTGTCGCATATGCGCTTAGTCTGTTTATAAGTCTATAAACACATCTTTCCTTGGCGGAATTAGTAACTATATTTTTTCGAATGCGTTTCTTCCCACCTACTTTCAAAATTCGGCGCGGGATCGGCGCCCCCTTTTCATTTTTGCGCCCCCCAAAAATTGCCAGCTGGGATGGCCGTGCCCCCCCCCCCCCGGCCCCCCTGCAAGCACGCCACTGATAAACAGGTAAATGTTTCACAAGTCAGAAATGAATGGTTGTTAAAGCGATACCAGTAATATATTCTGGTGGTCGTAAACAAATTTAACAAACGGCGCGTTTTAATTTCATAGGGAGACGTGCATGTTAATTCGCCATATCCAGTTTTTTTTTCGCGGTCTTTGTGGGCAAGTTTACTGAGTCACAATAGACAATTCCCATTATAGACTAATTTTAAAACTAGGCAAGGAGATGCACATAAATAACCTCAGCTAGAACGAGCGTACTGAAATTAGTAAAATTACAAAGTTTGGTTTTCGAAATGTTGTAAAATGCGAAAAACAGTAGGCTTGCAAAGTTCGCAAGTTTTGTATACTTTTATATTGTTGCGTGCGGAAATGTTACCACACTAATTTCAGTAATTTGGGCCAAAAATGGTAGCAATTTCCGCATGCAAAAAAAAGTATACAAAATTTGTATGCCAGCTTTTCAGTGGACAAGTATAATTTGTTCGTTTTGTACGATTGCAAAAGAAAACTTGTGTAGAAAAATACTTCTATGGGCTATTATAAGCGGGAATTCTTTCCGCAAACCGCGCAATTTTTTTCTCTTGTTCCGTCAACCGCCCGTCATTTTGTTGCATAACGGTGACCGCCATTTTTTCCACACAAACAATAAAGACCATCCATTTTCTATACGAAGCATAATTCAAGCATTCAAAAATGCCACGAGGGACGGATAACTTATGAGCCCTTATGAAAGGGTACTGAATTATATCTCCAACCGTAATCCGCCATTAAACTTGCCTAACAACCGAAAACCGTGCGATAATTTTTAAAGTCGCGAAACTCCGCCACCGCTAGATAGTATCCTCACCGTAAACCGCTACAAAAATCGATACTTTTCCGTAATCCGACTCGCAAAATAAGCTGAAACCGCTTAACCGCCAAACTATAATAGGCCCCTCTATGGTTTTGGCAAACAAAAGGTGGCCTTGACGCGGGATCAATGTTCAATTAACAACAATCCGTGCACAACAATACTTGTTTCAAACATTAAAGTTTCACGTTATAGAAATGACAATGTTTTTATCTGCGATTGTTCGTTCGTGGACGCAAACGATGGTAAAATACTAAAAAAATGACGGTCCCAAGATAAAGTACTGAGAAGTCATGATTAGCAAACCGCTAGCCTAAGGCG